CTCACCCAATCTCGTCCGAAAGGTTAGGACTTTATTCCATACGTAACATGAGCTTAATATAATACGGACTCCGACAGTATTATGTATATATATACATATTCGATTGTCATAAATGCTGTCATCGGTATTATTTAATATTTAATTGTATAGATTACAGCGATATAAAAATTAAAATTTGTACATATAAGGGTATTTAAAGAAATAAAAATACTCACAATGAAATGTAAATAAATACAGCGTCTATAATTTTTATTTTCACTTCTGCTTGGTCTGAAAATATTTATTTCTGCTAAAAATAGGGTGGTAAGTGAAAGGCGTGTGATGAACGCACCAGATTTTTTTTTTTAATGAATCAGGAAGAGAAATGGAAAGAAATTTAAGTTCTCCATTAATCAGAATATTACTATAAGAACACTTGGCTCGACATGTGTGATGATATTTTAAAATGTTCATTTCAAATGTACTCATGATTCTCTGTTATTATGAAATTGAATTAGTTTAAAGTGCCTCTCAAAAGAAATACAACAACAGAATCACGCCTGTAATTACAGATCATTATAAAAATCATCTGAGAATCATATAGTTTAAAACAATCCGTCATGTTTTTTTCTACATTATAAAAAATAAATCATTATTTTGCAAGAGGTGTTTAAGATCAAATACCTGTGTCATTTGACAGAACAAGTTTTTATATAGTCTCATGTTCAACTGGCAAAAATATATCAAAATCAATACGAAAATCAAGTATAAGGATTAAGTGTAAACGTACAAAAAAAAAAAAAAATGTGCAATAGATCGAGATTATTCACAGAAAGGTGCCATGAGTTTTATTGGAAGGATCTCAAAATGAAATTATGATTTGTGAAGCAATATTAAATTGCAATAACCATAAAATAGGTATTCTTCAAGTCTGATTGCATTTTGTGGACTCTTCGTCATCTTTGTGCTATTTTTGTATAAAACTTGACTTTCTTCAATTACCACCAATGACTCAGATTACGGGAAAAACCACAAAAGAATCACTCCCAGGAAGTTTTTGTTAACTCGATATTCTTTTTCAAAAGCAAAAATATTGATAAGGGAAGAACAGCTAACTGTTACGGAAAAAATGATTCTGAGAAGTATAGTTGTAATCCACGTTATGATACATCATATAGTATTAATATAATTAAATTTAAATTTGATATTTATATATAATATTATTACATGTGTAAAGTATTTATAAAATTTTAAGTAGTACTGAAGTGTCCAAAATTGAAATCAGGGCACCCAAAAAACTTAAGGAACAAGAATCGAATGAGGATTTATAAAATTACAACAAAAACAATTCACTTATTCATTGGAATATGTGACTAATGGTAGTAATAATAATATTTATAGTCGTGTGGAGGCCCGACACATCTTAACCTCAGTGCCTTCATATCATGAGATATTGATTGACTAGTTTTTTTGAATAGATCTTTATTGGTCTTTCTTCTCTATGTGTTAGTACTTTGTTCTCAGATAGCTCCGGTCATTGTGCAGAGGAGGTTTTGTTTCAATACTTTTTTCCAGTGCCCTGGCTTCATTTTAGCATTGAACACCCTTGATTTGAGATTTCTTGAAAGTTTTCGGGATTTCAATACCTGTGAAAAGGAGACAAAAATTCTATTTGCGTTTTTTTATTCGCTGGTCTATTCCCGACCGTTGGTTATTTGGAAATTGAATTACATCCATTTTCCTGAAAATTTATCAAAGAAAAGCTTTGAGTGCGATTTATTTGATTAACTAAAACAATGTAAAACCGGCTTAAGGTAGATCAGTGTAAAAATTTCAATACCCTCTAATATTGCTGATAAAAAACTTTTTGTCATGCTCTATTTTTTCATACAATAATTTCTGTTAAAAGTAGAGGAAATAGTGAAGCTTGTGTGATGCGGGCAACACATTTTCTTACTTTCACTTAGTTATTTTTTTTTCCTCAAATTGAATTGAATAGCTATAACTTAGTTAATAGTTGTCCGAAATGAACAATTTTTGTATAGCTTTGTAGGGAACATATATTGTGCATGGAGCACCCAATATGTGTCACAGACATCAGTAGTAAAAATCCCCAAAAATAAAACATCCCCCCCCAAAAAAAAATCGGTTCAATAGTTATAACATAGTTCCCTAGAAAATCTTGGCACAGACAGACACCACCCCTAACCAATGGCTAAAAATGTGTTTTTCGAAATCAAGGGGCTCTGAAACGTATAGATCCGTCAAAAACCGCATGTCGGAAATTTAACCCGATTGCGATACTTTTCTTACCTAGCATAGTTAGGAAAGTAAAAATAGGTGATGCAAAATTCTGTCTACTCAAAGTACCAGTGTTTTAGGCGAAAATTATAAATTACAATGAAGAAATATGTACACTAAAACACAATAATTAAAATTAATAAATGAGTAGTGTTCAGAGCTATAATCGATCGATTTCATAAATTATAGTTTTGAATCAATCAATGTCAAAAGGTTATTAATAATAATGGAATCATTTTGTGTTATAGGATAATTTTCTTTTTAGTGTTTTAGTACGAATAATTAATTTTAATAGGGTAATAATTTGATAATTAGTTGGCCTCTGCGAATAATTCTCAGACAATTTTGTTTAGTGTATGAATAGGAAATCAATATGGAAATAAGTAGATCCTATGTATTATTTGAGGGATAAATTAATTGTTTTTCCTTGGTCGATTATAATTTTCCATTTAACATAGTAGACCAAAATATTTGTACGAATTGCTTTGCTAGGATCTATTTTTAACCGCTGATCATAGGAAATTTAATAAAGCCAAAATAAAACCTCGATCATAGAATAAAACCTCGAATAATAAATGCAGTATCTTCAAAGATGAAGAAATTATTAAGTATATCAAAATTAATGGACTGTAGCTTTGTAAATAATTGTCCAATTTTTAAGATTTTGTTTTTGTTTTGTAAGTAATTTAGTAATCTTTCTAATAATCACGAGTACTATAAAAATAATTTCCAAATAAAATTTCTTTTTCTTCCTAACTTTTCCCACAGAAATTTCCAGGGGATTGGGATATTTTTTTTATTTAGGTGAAGGAGGAGTAGATCTTCAGAATGAGAGGTCAGTCATTGGATTTGATGAAATATTGACGAATTTATGTCGTACCAAAAAAAAAAAAAAAAAACTTATAGAAATAATATATAAGATAGAAGAGCCGTGCTGAGATAGTCGTCATGGCAACGACTTCACTTATCACTATGATGTTTTTGTCTGTCATTAACTACAACATCCACAACTCTTCAGAGTGTTATTCTAATTCAATGATTCTAGAACCGCTGGAAAACTGAATTAACGATCTTCACAAACGTATAAATAAATTTTTATTATTTTGGGAGGTACAATTTGTGTCATTCCCTGTATCCCTGCAAAATTTCGTGTGGATAAGTGGAAGAACATTGAAGTTACCATACTCAAATCAAAGAGCATTTTTTTCGTCATATGTGAAGAAAAAAAATGATTTTTCGATCACTATGAAAAATTTTCTTCGAAGGTCTTTTGAGCAGCGAAATACAAATGTCAACTATGTTTTCCCTTTAAAATATATTTTAAAAGTCTACTCCTTCGATCAGTACAAATTATTTAAATTTTACAAATTTCTAACCAATTTTTACAATTTTTTTGTAGGTAATTAAGGGATCTTTGTAATAATCATGGCTACAATCCAGGGAAAAAAATCATGCTTTTTGAGTTATTCGCAAAATAATTCTTTTATCGCAAGTTTCTTTTCCTTCATAACTTTTTGAAGAACTCAAATTTCGGGTTGATAGGACTATTTTTCGCATGAATGTGGAAAATAAGAATTGACAAAGTTATAGCGTACCGCCAAAAAAAAAAAAAAAAAAAAATTTATTAAATAATGTATTAGATTAAAAAAAAAAATAATTGTGGAGGTTCGATCAAGATTGGTCTTGAAATTTTATACGAAGGTTTCAGTATTTAATGCAATTTGTCAACTGTTAGAAAATAACAACAAATAAGTAATAAGTATTATCCAACAGCAGTTAATTTTTTTTTTTTTAACCTTGATTTATTTTAAGCATGAATGGCTCAAATTTTTTTTTAATAAAACAGTTTTTCATGAGTGGGTCGGGAACGAACTGTTACATTGTCAGGCATCGCGATCTGTTATAGTAAGGGCAGTAAGAATAATGGTAAATGTATAGATTCAGAGAAAATGTAAACAATAGAAGAAAAATCAAATCGAAAAATTAATAAAAATGTAAAGAGAATTAAAATTTAAAAAATAACTTTTGTTACTCATCCTCAGGTAAAATCCAACCTTTCTCTCTCAATCACATCTATAATTTTGAAAGTGGAGACAGATTTTTTGAAATTACGAATATTTCATTAATTAATTTTATATAAAATATTGTAAAGAAATTAGATTTTTTATTTCCACCCCCGCTATTTTACCATCGTAGTTTGTTCCTTAACACGCTCACCGATTATATTTTCTCTGAGTTCAAAGCTTCATAATAAGATTTCAAATTTTAAAAATTATATATGATTTGCAAAACATTTGGCAAATAGTCGGAAGTCAACACTTAATAATATTTTTCGGTATTGCAGGACTGTGTACTGGTAAAAGGGAAGTTCAGATTGAAGTGACGAAGGAAGGTAAGAGACTTGTGTTGACGAAGAAATGTTTCTAAGCAAAATAAAAACACGAAATGTAGACGGGATGGAATATAATTTCACTCTTCACAGAGAAAATAAATTTAAGGAGATTATTAATTAATATTACTAATGGAAGCAATAAGGACAAATATTTAATATGTCATTGAGTACGGTATACTCTGAATAGCTGAACTGAAGAAGTGGAACTGAAGAAGTGGAAGATATCAGATATAAATAATATTAAGAATTATTAATTTTTAAATATTTTTACCAGCCAACTATGAATTATTAGAAATAACAAAAAAGTTAAGTATAAAATAAAACTCACTTTTAGCCTATATTACAGACAGTCCACACAGACGAACGTCCTTCACACTACTGAAGTTCCCTAAGAACAGTTCGTCCTCGTAGTAATCGATATCAGTATAGTACGTCACTGATAAAGTGATATTACGTGAAGTAAGAGTCACGTCTCAGCGACTGGTGAGCGAAAGCTTCCTTCTACGCTGTGGCTGTCTATAGAATGAATATTTTTGGATGATAATAATTCTTTTCAAGACTCTTCTAAATGTTAAATTTTAGGCACTAATATAAATATATTGAACGTTACATATATTGAAAAATATTCTCTATTTTTGTACATATAAATGAAAACAACAAAATTGTTTTTGGAATTCAGTAATTTATTTAAAGTAGCAAGTTTCTCTCATATTTTTTTTTCGCATTTTCATTTTTTTTTTCACGTATTTTCATTTATCACATACTGTCCATGAATATGACATATAGTAGTGTTCGATTCGACAATAAAAACAGTTATCTCTCATAATTTTATAGTTTAGATTGGCTGAGTAATCTGTGAGAAATATTAAGAAAATTGTATGAGTGTATATAGTTAATACAATAAGTATAGATAAAATAATCCATACAGTAAGTATAGGAAGTTTATTTTTAATGGCATATTAAATAAAAAAAAAACAAACAATGATTCTATTTAAATGATAATTACAAGATGAGGAGAATTTTCGACATAATATATTTTTATAATATTATGGAAACTAAACTATACATTCTGAAATAAACACATCCAAACTGCCGAAGATTTTTTTGTACTTATTTTATCTACATTACATCTACATTTTTATCTACACATTTTGAAAAACATTATCTGGTTTCATCATTATAAAACAAAGTTGCCCATAAAAATTATATTTTTAACTTTTTTTTTTATTTTTAGATTTTCATAATTAAAAATAAATAAAGACGTTCCTAAGTGGCTATGTTACATTCCCTAAATGTTTTTTTTTCTTGTCATTGTTTGATGTTAAACAAGTAAATATTATATTACATTCCAGGAACAAACTCGATTAAGGAAAATGAAGCAGGAAACAGTATTATTTTCTTTGTTTTATTATTATATGAAACCTAATTTTTATCTTTTTTTTTAATCTCATTTTCCAGCTATTTTATTGTACAACTACAATAGATACATACAAATATATACATATATATATCCATCGCACTAGAGGATCCAGGATTTATTTTGGGGGGGGGCCCGAAAGTTTTTTTTTTCATAAAAATAACGATAATTACTTTGGAAAAAAAGAAAGAAACTAACTACCTATATGAAATTGTGTTTAAATGATTCCTAAAGCCCTTTTAAATGTAATTAAACGAACAATAATACTTTGATAGATAATTTTTTAATATTTTTTTCGATAATAAATGGTTATATTTTCCCATTTTGGGAGGGGGGGGGGGTACTTCAGCCCGAAAGCCCCTCTCCTTCCCCGTAGATCCGCCCGTGATCCATCGTTACCTTTTCTTGTACTGTCCTATGGCATTTTAAGGTAGGAAGAGGATAGGTATGCATATATCTGTTCACCCGTGACCCCTTTAAAAAACCTGATCTGAGTTATTAGGTTATTATTAGTATTTGCTATATTTGGAATATCAGGGGATAAAGGCGTTTTATTTACTGGTCAAAATTTCATTGGTACTTTTCTAATTAATTAAAAAAAAACTTTTTATTCTATTAGACATGTGTAATGTTTAATGTATTATTATTATTGGTGATGGCTTATGGTTAGAAGTATTGAATGTAATTGTGGCTCGAACTATCTCAGTCGTTCAATCGACTAGGTATTTTACTCCGTTAAAGCATTATGATAAAAGCTATTTTGATACTAATAAACTGTGTTGATGTAAACACAATCCAAATAATGAAAGTATAGATTTTTAAAATGAAATTAGATATTTATCTCCGGACTCTACAAATATATATATATATATATATATATATATATATATATATATATATATATATATATATATTATAAATGTAACATTTAAACTAAAAAACAAACAAATATATCGATTAAAAAAACAACATTATTTTTCCATTCTATGGATTGTAAAAGTTCGGAAAAATTATACTTTTTTAAATTCTGGTCATGGATGGTCATTTATCATATCTAGAAAACAAAAATGGTTGAAATCGATTAAAAATAAATCTTAAAGTAGTTTAATAAGTAAAATATTAGTTTTTAACCGTAGAGAACAAAGAGCAATTTTAAAAAATAAACTTCGAAAAGAAAAAGTGGACAAAATACAACCAGGTGAAGCAATTCTGCTATATAAATTAAGTCTACCAATTTTATTAACAGTTGTAACATAACATCATAATTTATTTGTTTTTCATCAATTGAAAAAAAAAAAAAAAAAAAAAAAAAAAAAAAAAAACGCTGCACACTGCTAGACAATGATAGGTCTATATCTCTAAAACAGCACGTTCGATTAGGCTTAAATTTGGAGGTAAGTTATGGATTGGTTAGTAGATAATCAAGTATGTATTTTATCAAATTCTATCCACTATATCCAAACAAATACTTTCGCTTTCAGATTAGGAAATTTTAGTAGTTTGAAGACGGCTCATTCGATTTGAACCAAACTTGGAGAATGATGCAGAAATTACCTAGTATCAAATCCAAATAACTAATATCAAACCAAATGTCAAATACAATTAATAGTTAGTGAAATATAAATAATTGTTAACAATATAATGACTGTGAAATGTGGAAGGCATTAAGTTGATCAGACGGATTGGGAGTTAGGTTATTACAATATTTTCATGGGATTATAAAATTTAAGGTTTTATTCAAAAAGTTAATTTACACTGTATTGTTTGGTTGATTCGAAATGTCACTGGCATGACACTTACTGCCGTTACTTAGATTTCTTGTACTTTTCACTAAATTGAAATTAATTTTTACTCTGAGTTCCTACAAAAAAAGAAGTCTTATACTTTAAGGACTGTGTTTATTTCTATTATTTTATTTCTAAGTTCAACCAGCTCGTCGTGGTATTGATTTCTTCCTTGAATATCAAAGTTGTGTGAACTTCACGCATATTCGTACATTCCAGCTTAATTAGTTTTGTTCTGACTGAAGAAAAGTATTGGTTTCGTTAATCCCGAACAAAAAAAAGTTGAATGATTGCTATGGATTTTTTGTTCCATCCATTTTACTATTAAAACATATATTTTAAACATACATCCCTACTGCTAGTGCAAAAGGTCGTATGTAAAATGTTTCAATTTTATTCTATTTTTGACATTTTATAGTCTACAACTGATGTAAGTGGTCTGCTACTATGGAAAATAGTAGAAGTCAATGATGTATGAAATTATACTAATAAATCATAAAGATAAAGACATAAAATGTTTATGTTCTTCTGTAAAACAACTCAATTTTTATACTAACAGAAGCGATATGCATGTTAAGTATGCACTGGATTTTTTTATTTTTTAACACGAATCATCAAATATGAAATCTGCAAAGGCGGAACTGTTTTGCGTTTTAGTAATCGCTGATGAATAAAACTCGTGGATATCAAACCCGTATATGTAAAGAGATTACTGAATTTCCAAAATCAACTTCTTCCATAGATTTTATTCTAATGCGAAAAACATTACGTCCTTGTAATGTACATATTTTTTAGCCAATGAAAACGGTTAGGAAGCCATACTGACCTTACTTGGCAGACGTTTTTAAGTAGTTACACACATAAGTATTTATTGTAGTATTATTGAGTTAATTTCGCCAAAATAAAATTTTATTAAAACAATTATTATATATTTTTTGCAATAACTCAAAGCCACCAATTTGTTGTAGTTAATTTAATTACAAAAGTTCACGACGTAAATTTTCTTTTCCTTATCAGACAAATTAAGAGCCAAAAAAAGATTATAAAGAAAAATATATACGGACAGGAATCTGATAATTGCCAATGATAATTTTATTCATTTACTTAGTCTTTCAGGTTTTTCAAATAACTATCTTAATTGCTTCTAACTAATAATAAGATTATCTAAAAAAAACCCTAATAAATTACAGAAACTCTAAAGTTATTTGTAAACAATTGGGTTATTATCAATTCTAGCGTATAATAATATTACGATATGATAATATGTATTGGGAAATATATTACCTAAAATAGTTTTATTGGAGAGGTGGAGGGAGGATAATAAATGGCAAAACTATCCTATAAACTAAATTTAACGTTATTTTAATTTTTTTTACTTACTCTTCTGAAAAACACACATTTCACTAGACAACTCAGTGGAAACTTTAGTGGATAACATCATGTCACGAAATTTAATCACAAGGTCTTCGAACTGAAGGACTGTCTTCTTCTAATGTTCCTTACTTACTGGCTCAATGTTTATGTTGATAAATAACATTAAGATATACAAGTCTCCATTAGGTTTTGGTGGACAATGATAACAACAGTTATATTTTCTTCAACACAATCTCGATAATTCCTATAATTCGTATATCTTATAGTTTTGAAACCAACTGGCAGACCTCAACTAAAATATATATCTATACAAACCAATTTTTCAACCTTTATTTAAATATATATATATATATTTTTTTTTGTCTTTTTTTCAGTTGGCCCTACAGACCGAGAAGATCTTTGGCCGCGATATGTGGTATCCTTACAGACGTATGCTGCTCGTGGGAGCTCAGATAGCCTGGAGGGGGTCACCCAACCTCGCGTTGCTACGAACCATGGTCTCCATGGTGCAGCGGCAGGCCACCCGTAGCTCCATAGCCGTTCCCTTTGGGGCCAATCTGGCAGTGTCCTTCCCACCAACTCACTCGGGTTTAAGGACAGTGACAAATCGGTCTAGATCCATGGATTATGGCTGCTCGGAGTCAGCACGAGTGCATTTATTTATAAAGCGATCTTCGAAAAATGCATTCCATTCATCACTTCCTCATTCTCTTGTATTTTACCTCATTAGAAAATCAAAAACCTAGGAGTAACCTTTGATCAGCACCACTTTTGGAATAGCCATATCTCCGAAAATTCACAATTGCTCTTAAACAACTTCTAAAATTCCATAATTATATTCCTCTAAAACCAGACGAATCCTTATAATCTCACTTGTTTTCCCCCACTTTGACTACAATTTCTTGGTATATGGAGGGCTATCTGCAAGGCTGGAGATGAGGATCATGAACTGTTTTATAAGATAAATCTTTCATCATGTCTTATAATGAAGTACTTGACTTCGAAAAAATACTTCATATCACTTTGACTCTCATCTCAGGAAAGATCATCATACAATTCTTAAATCTCATCTATCATTTTGAATCCTAATGTGAGTGAATCATAACTTAATTGAAGCCTTAATCTGAATGCTCAACTTGTCCCACTTTACTTCTGATACACTTTAGAGAGCTATTTATAGATAAAAAAAATCAAACCTTAAAATTCAGTTAGCCTTTGTACCTTGAGTTCTTGGGAGGTCTGCTTCCCATTTTCCAACACTAAATAACAAATACGAGTATGTAAATGCTATTACATATTTAATCTCGCAAACAGTTTTTTGTCTTAGTAAAAATTTGCTGGAAGTCAATGAGGTGAAAAAAAATTTGTTTATTTTATTATTTTTTCACTAGACATCTTCATCAAACCATTAGTTATAATAATCATCAGCATCAAATAATCATCCAAATTTACTATTTTATAACACTGATTTAGCATTTTTTAGAATTTTCAAGTGCATAAAACTAGTTATTAACTACTTAATTTTAAACACTGTTTAAGAAAAAAATTTATTTACAAAACAAATTATGTGCCACAAGTCTTACCTCACTACAATGCACTAGGAGATCCAGGATTTAATTTTGGGGAGAGGGGAGCTTTAGAATGAAAGTTTTTTTTTCGTATATATAATGATAATTACTTTAAATAACGATAAAAATACGATACAACTGTGTGGAAGAAAAAAAAAAAGATACTAATTACCTATATGAAATGTTGTTTAAGGGATTCTTTAAGTCCTATTAAATGTAATTACAGGAACAATAATACATTAAGAGATAATGTTTTAATATTTTTTACTATAAAAAATGGTTACATTTTACTGTTTTGGGGGATGGTAGCATCAGCACGAAAGCCCCAACCCCTCTCCCATAGTTCCCCTGTGCTATAATGCTAAACACTCAACACTTACAACATTTTGAATTAAATAAGGCATAGCTCAGGGCTGATTGTTTTATTTCTTCCTTCAAAGAATAAAACTAATTGTATCAATACTGCAAGAGAGTGCCTATTTGCTTAACCTTTAATTATCATTATTTCAAAATAATTACATGGTAAAAATGAATAGACAAACTAAATATTTTTTGAAAGAAAAAATTTAAGTAGTCCATATGTTTCAAATTGAATTGAGAAGATATACTTGTAAGAGTTATATATATACATGCTGCACACAATCCACCACCTGTATCAGTTAGAATATAAATTTTAAACAGAAAAGAATTGGTAATACTCGTGATTCAAAGAGTGGAAAACCAGTTAGAGTATTGCGGAATATTGGAAATAGCAGTTTTGTGCTTTAAAACTTGAACAAGTGAAATCTGAGGTTTTCATTAACAGCAGATACTCTAAATAATTAATTTCAAACCCTATAATTTTAATCAATCTAGATTAGTATCATTTTGAATGTATTCAGTAATACCAGAAAATATAAAACTTGTGGTAGTTTTAAAATTTAAATTAAAAAAACTACTTAATATATTAGAGATACTTATGGGATTTTTAACTTCTTAAAATTCATTCATGGGTAAATTTAACTTGTGGTATATGCAAATTATTATTTTTGCTGATATTTACCCACAAAGAATTTCTAAATACCTTACAATAAAATATTTTTATTGCTTGTTCAAACTCTTGAAAAAATTAATGAACATTAATCAGTGAACTCATGATCATATGCTTTAGTTTGTTTTTAAATTAATACAGGTGACTTTGAAGTGAGTCAGTTATCCTCATTCTTCATGTATATAGATCATGGTATGCGATAAAATAGTTGTGATAAACATAACCAAAGTGATTTGTGTTCCTTTTTCAAAAGCCAATTTGACAATCTAAAAAATAAACCTGAAAAGGATCATATTACCAAGTTGTGAATTTATTTATTACCATTCCTAGAGATGTCAGGACATGATAATTCATCTCTTATCTTATTTCGATATAAAAGTAAAAGTGATGCTTTGCATAAAAGAAGAGGTTATAGAAAAGTCACACTATTATCATATGTTGTCAACATATGCTATAAGGAGTATTCAAAATAGACTGATAAATATTTCAAGATTTGTCAAAAAATTAGTATTTATGAAAATACATTAGGTGAGAGAAGATTGGAGCTAACATATTTTTAAATAGAAAATTAATTAATCATGGAAAGTCAGCGTGAGTAAATTTTCCTCTTCATATATAGCCACAAAGTATTTTTTATAAGGGCTGTATTATAACAAATTAGTAAGCATTGATATATAATCTGCCCTCATGATGACTTAATTTGTCTAACAAAGAGGATTTGAATAATATTAAACCATTGATATACATATAAAATAACATCGACTTAAATCTTGTTTTGAAAGATGTAGTTTATTACTGAGATAACAGTTAATGAAGTCTTGAATTTAACATAATTTAACTTTTTGTGGAACATAACTATTTAGACTGTATATCAAGGCTAAGTTACAAGTATTGACAAATTTGTGGCATTGAAGTAAACTAGGGTTGGATTATGGATTAATATATATTTTATCAGGACCAATTTAGCAAAATAAGATAGATATGATATGGTTAGCCATAAAGTTAGTTGAATTTCTGATCTGACAACTGACCTCTTTAGGTATATATTTTTAACACAGTAAAATAAACGGTTCTTTGGTGCTATTAGATATACATATCAATTTTGTTATCATTTACTATTCAAAAATAAAGGGCTTGGTTATAATAGTTTTTTAAAAATAAATGAAGAATACATATAGAAATCAAGAACCACTAGTTTTGAGTAATGTCATTTAAACATTTATTATTCATTGCTTATTTACTGTTATTATTTACACTCATATGTTTTGTTTTATTAATGTAATAGTTTTAATTCATTACTATATTATGTGACTAAAATAATATGAATTATTGAATTATTGTTAAACTCAAAAACATATTTTTTGACAAATTATATTATTCTTAAGATGAAAATCAAAATGAGTAAATAAAATTGAAATGTTAAAGAAATTATAAGTATTTTTGGAAATAATACAACATTGATGATGACTCTCACGAATCCAAAATTGAAAAAAATACCAAAGTTCATTAAAAGAAAAGAAATTTATTTTTTAAAAACTATATGAGTGGCTTCATATATAAGATGTACATCTGCCATTTTTAAAAAGTTAAGAAAAATCCAATTTTTATAATATATTTTGGATTTAAACCAATCCTAATGATATTGTTTGATGATTCATCTTAAACATTCTTAAATGAAATTATCAGGAACGGTTTGAATTGAATCCAATAAACAAAAAAGTTTTTTTTCTCCACTTTCTGAAAATGACACATATCCGACTTTATATGAAGCTACTCATATGGTTATTATGTAAGCTATAAGGAATAGTGAAGAAACCACACACATTTTTTAATAATTATAAATTCTAATGTAACAAATGTCAATAAAATATCCTGATAAGAGTGAATATTAATAAGTGCCAGGGAATTCCAGCTAATCAAAGAGTATTTGTGGTATGCTGATATTTAATATGGTTATGAACAATGATATGGGTTCTGAGAACAATTGTCACCAAGATGTTGGTATGACAGATCCTATAAATGTGATTTCTTTCAAATTGAAAAGTAACTGTAAGACATTTAATGAATCTGATGATCATCCTTTTGTATATTATCTCACAAGTGCTGATGGATATTTGGAGTATTTTGAACTCTTTAACAATGGTCGAGATGGAATCTGTCCCAAGTAACGGTGGACTCATGTATGATTCGTGAGCCTGCCAGACTCTTTAAATGATGGGATGCACAGTGATGAATTCTATTTTCAAACTATTTGAAGTCTTTCTGTCAAATGTATTTTAAAGTTGAATAAAAACCAAAATGAAATCGTTTGGAATGATATCATAAATAAAAAAGGTCAAAGTGATGATTAGAGATGATAAAAAGTAGTTTGTCACTGGGGCACAGAAAGCTGTCCTCAAAGCTGCTTCTCTCTTCCCACTCATTGTCGTCAAAAGGTTGATAGGATTGGACCAAACATTCATAATTGATTTTGTTGTTAGAAAATTAAAGACTCATCTGATAAAGACCTGAAAGTATTAAAACTGTTTATCAAATAACACAACACTTTACAAGATCTTAAATTAACTCCAGAAAATCTAGTTATGTTGGAGTTTCTTAAGTTTCAGTGTTCAAAATATTTCTTTTTTTTTTGTACCACTAAATAAAAAAAGTAAAAAAAAAAAAAATAATTATCTCTCTGGTTTAACCTTTTAAATTCTCTGTGGCAAGGAAATTAAAGTTATAACTGTTGTTTATTTGCACTAAATGTTTAGAATGTGTATTAATAAAATTTACTCATTGCTTTCTTTCCATGGTTAGTTGAACATTTTTCTAAATTGTTCAATAATTTTTCAATTGGTGTCTATAGCATATGTATTTCTTATGTTCCATTCCTTTCTGATATATTATTTATACTATTAACAATAATGTTATTGATGGCATCGTGTACACATATGGTAAGTGCAAGTTTTATCGTATGCACTTGGCACATGTATACACAACACCATCGTTATAATATATTTTTAATAATAATTATATTATTAATTTTTCTTGCAGAAAATTTCAGTGTTCCATTTAATTTTATGAAAAACTTAATAGAAACAGTCCGACAGAAAATAGCAAACATTTCTCTGCAAATAAATTGAGCCATAAAAAGATTCAGACGAAAAAGGTAATTTTTTTATATTTTGGTCCAAAGATAAGTTGCATTCATTAACTTACATTAGGCTAATGATTTTATTGAAAATTTTCACAATATAAATAACTTTTGTCATTATGATGGTAATCATTTACTGTGCTTTTTAAATTAAATATAATCATATCTGTTCTACTGAACCTATAAATAATCATAGTAATTCAATCTATAATAGTCATAGGGATATAAATATTGAAAAAAATAAAGTATATATATATATATATTTTTTTTTCGTTTGGCTCTACAGACCTTGTAGATCTTTGGCCGCCTGAACCAGCCTTCTCCACCTCTGCCTATCTTGGGCTACTGCTTTCCAGTTTGCGGCATGAAGCTCAGCCGTATCTTTGTTTATCCTATCTATCCATCTGGTTTTTGGCCTTCCACGTGGTCTCTTGCCTACTACTCTGGCATTCATTGTCGTGTAAAGGCGTCCTGATGGATTGCTACGAGCTACATGCCCTGCCCATCTTAACCTCCTTGCCTTCATGTCATGAGATATTGACTGACCCGTTTCTTTCAGCAGTTCTTTATTGTTCCTTCTCCTCCATATGTCAAGGTTCTGCTCCCATATAGGTCCTGTTATCCTACAGGACTTTTCTTTCGAATCTCTCAATTCTGGCTTCTAGTGTGCCGGTTAGAGCCCCGGTTTCACAACCGTACAGCAGAACTGGCTTAATCACGGCAGTGTACACCCTTATTTTGAGATTTCTGGAGATTTTTCTGGATTTCAGTACCTTTGAAAGAGAGAAGAAAGATCTGTTCGCTGGTCTATCTCTGTTAGTTGATCATTTATTGAGGTTATTGTGGAGCCGAGGTATTTGAATCTGTCTATTTTCGGGAATGACTTTGAGTCAACGCAGATCATGTTATTAGGGTGGATATTTCAGCTAACTATCATGTATTTTGTTTTATCTACATTGACCTGTAGTCCGATTTGCTCTGCTTCTTTTAATAGAGTCCGAGCGAGTCTCTCAATATCCTCTTGATTACTTCCGAGGACAGCTGTATCATCTTCATATGCTAGGATTTTATGTTTCATTCCAACGTGCACCCCTCCATCTTTGCGGGATGTTGATCTTATTACTTTCTCCAGTGCTAAGTTGAAGAGCATTGGCGAGAGTCCATCTCCCTGCCTCAAACCTGTTTGTTTGAACTTCAAAGACTTCAGATACTTCTCCTTGTATTAGTACCCTGCATTTACGATCATTTGTACACGCCTTCGTCAACCTCACTAATTTCCTAGGAACACCCAGCTCAGTCATGATCTTCCAGAGACAGTTTCTGTTAATGTAGTCATAGGCTGATTTGTCGACAAATAATGCGTGTACGTCCTGATTTACTTCCCATCGTTTTTCAAGTTCTTGTTTTAGATAGATAGAAAAATAATTTTATTCTGGGACACAGTCCCTTGAGAATAACAAAATAGAACAAAATTAAAAGATCACCTCTGGCCAAAATAAAATCAATCGAAAAAAAGAAATAATGTAAAAAAAATATAAGGTAAACATTCTATATACAAAAAACGAAACTATATACAAAACAATTAATACAATGACAAGGCACTTAAAGCTATTTGCACTAATAGACTCGTATACACTTTTGAGAAAATAATAAAGAATTAAAATTAAAAATGTATCAATGAATCAATCAATGAATTTGTATGTATCAAATTCTCTATTAAAATCAGCTCGAATAGTTAGCAACTATCTGACTGTTCTTGGGATAGGAATTGGAATAGGAGGGTTTTGAATTTGGATATGGATGGGGAATGTCGAATTTTGATAGGGAGGGAATTCCAGAAATTGACAGAGCGAACAACAAAGGAATTTTGGAATGAGGCAGATCTGTGAGAAGGCATGTAAAGGTTAGAAGGTCGAGATATTGTGGACAGAGAATGGACTGAGGATTTGAACTGGAGAAGGTTGTAGGCGTAAGAAGGACGATGGCTGTTGATGATTTGGTAGAGGAACGTACCTAGGAAATATTGTCTTCGGAAGGAGGGGAAAAGCCACTTTAACTCAGCGTAGTGGTGAGAAACATGGGAGTATCTTGGGGCCCAAATTTTAGGATGAATATCTGGTCTAGCGTACTCTTCCCTCTCCTGGATCCTGTTTGATGGTCGCCTATTATGTTTTCATAATATGGATATATCCGATTTAACAGAATATTAATCATTATTTTATAGGCGACCAGAAGAAGTGCTATGCCTCTGTAATTGCCACATTCATACATGGAGCCCTTCTTAAGGATAGGACAGATCAACCCTGTGTTCCATGCTTCTGGTATCCATTCCTTCTCCCATATCTTCTGGATAAGATCTAACAGCTTGGCTCTGAGTTCTTCTCCCCATCCTTGAACAATTCTGATGGTAGGTTGTCTATTCCTGGAGCCTTTCTTCTTTTAAGTCTGCCGATAGCTATTTCCACATCCAGAATATCTGGTTTTTCAACGTCAAGTGGGTCGATGTCCTCTGTGTGGTTCATGTCTTCTTCGTTTATGGGGTGCCCGTGATTAAGCAGCTGCTGGAAGTGTTCCTTCCAGATGCTTAGAATCTTTTCTTTTGATAACGTCAATTTGCCATCTTTGCCTCGCATTTGTGTATTTCTCGATTTATATCCTACCCTTTCTTTCCTGATATCTGTGAAGAATTGGCATATATTTCCAGCCTGCGAGTTTTTCTCAATAGTTTGTAATCTTTCATTGAGGAATTCTCTTTTGGCTGTTCTTATTATTTTGTCTGTCTTTTTCCTGGCGGCTGTGTATTTGTCCAGCATAGCTTGATCAGTTAGTAATATATATATATATATATATATATATATATATATATATATATATATATATATATATATATATATATATCCCGTAAAACGGGAAACAGAGGTGTCCCTGGGAATTCCAAACATGATGAAACCTGTTTCCTGTTTTTATGAACAGCTCAAGGCTTTATTATCCTTCCTACTGATGTAAGTATTTCCTGGTGTCTTTCCTCTTCCAAATCATCAAATCCTGCCATCTTTCATACATCCCTGAGCTCCTTCAATTCATATCCTCTGTCCACTCCCGTAAAACCCGTTGCCTCTTCAGATGAGCCCACCGAACCCCTGTTCTGGACATATCTTTCATTATTCGATTCTCATTCCTGCAGAATTTTATCCCTTCCTACATTTGTCGCTCCAATACCCTCCCCACCTTTAAATCCCACTTGTTCAATCACCTTTTATAAATCCATTCAGTTCTTATAAAATTGTAAAATTGTAAATAGACGTTGTTTTAAATATGTATATAAATAACTAGTTTTTTTTAAAATTAGTTTTCTTTGAAGGTAAATAATACTTTTTTTAAATTTATTGATATCAAACTGTTTATTATGTGATTATTCTCTGAGGCTCCCAAGCCCACATCTCTGTACATTATTCTAAAGGATTTGTCCCAGAAAAAATAAAGCATTATTATTATTATCTGTTTTTATTCTCTCTTTGGGGGGTGAGTTTCTGAGGTGGGAGACCAGAAGTCCAGCCACTTTCTTTTTATTATTTATTTTTATTAAATGTTTGAATGTTTGAATGTTTTAAATTCTAAGAGAACTGAATGTTGAGCTTCTTTTAGCACTTCAAGAAATAATTTCAAACCATTCGCGCCTGCCACTGTTGATTTTGGTATCAGTCCATTGGATGATAGTCAATTTGAGTGGTAGTGACGCTCACCAATGATACAATTTTATTGCTAGCTCTTGATATTTTCTCAGTTTTTCTCCAACAGTGGAGGATATCTGGCTTATTATGAAGCACAGTATGGTCAATAATAATGGATTCATCCCAATTGAGCTTGAGACCACCTTTTTGGAGGACTCTATTTGAGTGTTACTTATAGTATGGCATCTTATCATCTACTAAGTTGAGCTTCACCACCAGGGCTTGGTGGAAAATTTTGGCCACATTGTTATACCTTTGGAGATACTCAGTACCAGCTAACACTCCACATCAACCTGTGGTATGTTTGATTGATTGCAGCGTAGCTTAGCATAATCGGCATTTATCCGTAGTTGTTGCATCTTTTAGAACATGCCTTCTATATGATCTAGTGGCAATGACTTGGCCTTTAATGGTGATTAAAAATCCTTCTGTCTCGGGGAATATCTTTCCAGCTTTAACCATTCGACTGATATTTCCTTGTCAATGGAGCTATCATTCAATTTGCTATAGAATCTTCCATTCACAGATTTGTTTTTCCATTCTGTCAACCATTCATTTTCTGAAACAATTTTAGAGTCATTACGTTTGCTCAGATTAAGAAGTACTTATTATTATTATTATTTTCAATATAAAAAATGAATATGAATATTTCTATTCGTTCCATATTTGATTCGTTTTAATTAAATTATCCTATTTTTTTTGTTTGTCAGTGATTCTTCTATTTGTTGTTAAACATAAAATCTAAACACCAAATGTTCTTTATTTCTAATAAATTATTAACTAAAGGATAGTCAACATGAAGAATACTCATTACGTAAACCAACAGTTTCTTTAGACTTTTCTCAAGATTAATCCAGTAATATTAACTTTAACGATGAAAATACATAAAATTGAACCAGAAGTTCGCAATATTATCGTGAGAATGAGCGGTCAAGAGTACCGGCAATTGGATATTGCCAATGCAGTTGACATCTCCCAGATTGTGGTGTCCCGGGCTTTAGCCAGATTCAGAGGAACCAGAAATACCAATAGGAGAACTGTTAGTGGATCTCAGCTATTATGATAGCAAGGGATGACAGAAATATTGTTATTACTGCAACAAGTAATTAAGTACATTAACGCATGTGCACAGCACCGTTAGTTGCCCGGCAACCAGATAACAGATTTGAGAGACTAAAAAGTACGAGTTCGCGTCTCAGTGCCGTAGGTGATTTTAAATTCCCCGTCCTCACTCCCCAGCCCGAGAAAATCCCCTATAGCCTTAAAAGCGAGGTAGGGAAGAACAGAAAAAAGAATGATCAAGAAATTATAGAGGAGTACATTCCTCAAACCATGGCCATAATCGGCACAGGTTTCCATTTTTTTTAACGGCAATATGTGGCCTCATAGGGGCTCAAATACAATCTTATTTATATTCATTTTCAATGTATTTTATAATAAAATAAAATAAAAATTATAGGGAAAATAAATCATACATAACTAACAATATATATGTCTGAGTATTCTTGCCAACATGCCCTACAAGCAGAGAAAAAATAGCTTTACTCAAAATATTTTTGACATAAATGGATTACAAAAGAACTATTATTGATGGCCAAATGTTAAAAAAAAAATTTCATTTTCCAACTGCTATGGAAATTCTTATTTGAGGATTTTTGAAGGATGAAAAATAAATGCGAACTTTGTTTATCTTCCCAAAAATATTTAGTTAAATCTTGATGTATTTAAAACTATAATATGTACAATGTATGACTGGATCTGGAAAACATTCCAGGGTTTTGTGCATATAATCTTACTTTAGATACTCGTCCAGTTGAAGAAAAAAAATTATCACAGGCAAACAGTTATGGCATGAATAGAATATTGAAAAAATATATAATAACACCCTTGGGGCACATCCATCCTCTATAAAGAGAGGAACAGATCCCTCAAAGGAATGGGTAAAACCTTGAAATTGAGTGTGATCCTCCTACCAGATTACCTTATTGCGAGGCCATGGTGGCTAAATTCATTAAAACATTACCTGCTTGTTAAATATTTAAACCAAAAAAAGAAAAAAAAAGATTAACTTCTTGCACAACTTTTGGTTAAATAAAAAATGGTTCCTTTCAGTACTAAACCTACATTAGTTGTATTGGTAATGGTTTTCTCATTCTAAATAAGATAAAGTGAGGCATGTCTTTAAATTTACTTTAAAAATATACATTATTTTAATTTTAATTAAACAGGCATAAAATATTCAGTTTTTTAAAAAAACATTAGAGCTAAAAATGAAGTCGCTGATAAATTGCTCATTTACACTAGTTTCAGAATAAATATTTAATGATTTATCCATACTCATGTTTTACTTTTTAATGTTTTATTGGTACAAAAAAATATTGTTTATAAAAATAACATTTAGTTTGAAATGCCTAGTTGGCTGTTCATTATAATTTTTTATGAACTGAAAAAAGTGTTCATTTGATTTCATTATATGAAAATTTTTAGGAAAAGAAGTTGGTAACAGGACATTTTCTAAGAGCATTATTTAGTAGGTATTTATGCCATTAAAAAAATACAAATATAAGCTCAAACAATTAAAATAGGTATTTATTTTTTATTGATTTTATAGTATTGTTGATTTCTACTTTTTTTTAATCTCCTTTCCTCATATAGTAACTCTGAACAAGAGTAGTTTATTGGTTAAATTTTACAGTTAGTTGATTCATGCTTCATGCTCTTTATATATATATCTATCTTACAATTTGACTTGATGTGTGGGCCTCATGACCATCCTTTAGCCAAAATAACTCTTAACATTCATCAAAGTCAGCCATAGGTGTACTCTGTTGTTTTTAAGAACAAATTTGTGGTAAAGTGATTGTCTAATTTACTTTGTTTATTTAGTATGAGAGCTATGTGTGTGATATTGGTATCTTGGTGTACATATTTTTTTTATTGACATTATATTGTTTTTAGGAGCACAGATAGCCTGTACGGGGTCACCTAACCTCATGTTGTTATGAACCATGGGCTCCATGGTGCAGTAGCAGGCCACAAGTGGTTCCATAACTAATTCCTTAGGGACCAATCTGGCAGTGTCCTTCCCACCGACTCAGTCAAGTTCAAGGACAGTGACAAATCAGTCTAGATCTTTGGACTATAGCTTTTCAGAGCCAGTAAGCACAGGAGCACCTATATTTCTTTCTCTGAAGCACACAGTTCATGGACAAAGGGAACTACTGACATCCTGGAGGAACAAATTTTTATTTCAGATTTAAGTAATAGGGGTAGGGTCATCAGTCCTATGGCTGGTCGGGTGAGTTGTCTACAGTAGAACGTGGGCCTCACACACCCTCGGGGAGAGTGGAGAGAAGGAATCTTTGGCAGCAGCCTTTTTCTGGTGGAGGGTCACCATCCAAGTACTGAGCTTAACTTTATCTATCGGGAGCTCCTTAGGCCGCTTGGCTATTCCAGCCTCTACAAAGGACATTAGCCTTTTCAACTAACACCGATTCTCTGCAACTTCTTTCCAAAGTCTCACACCTAGATACTTTACTACTAGATACTAGATACCTGAGGTCTGCCTCTACATCATCCGTCCATCGCTGTTTAGGCATGCCTCTATCCCTAATTGGAAGTCGTATTTGTTTATTGTATCCTATTTGTTTTGCGAGTTTTTTTTTTTTATCCATCTGATATATTGTTCTTATTCTTCTATTTTTAATACAGAAAACTATATTAGATCCCCCATATAGGCCCCTAAGTTCTGTGTTTGTTTTTATGCGATAATAGCTTCCTTCTTTGGTAGGCTTTTGGGCTGAACCCATCCAAAATGGTTAAATGTAATCATGTTTTATGTAAAAAAATATTAAAACATTATCTCTTGAAATATTATTGTTCCTGTAATTAGATTTAATAGGACTTCAAGAATCACTTAAACACCATTTCATACAGGTAGTTAGTTTCTTCCTTTTTTTTCAAAGTAATTATATATATGAAAAACAAAGCTTTCGAGCTGAAGCTTCCCAAAATTAAACCCTGGATCTGCTAGTATTTTGGTGCAAAGTTATCTTTAATTTCGACTGTCTAATTTATCGTCCTTTTAATGTATCGATGCAGTGATCAATAGAAAATGGACAATACCATTTTTTGTGATATAAAATACATAAATAATGACCCACTGCTATTAAATGCTATCATAATTCTGACTTTAATTAATGTTAATCCTTGTGTACTTTCTTTTGAAGATTAAAAACAATAAAGACTGGTTTATTGATAAATAGATGTATTTTTTTCTGCTGAAAATACTTATATTTACATGTCTAATCCACTACAGCACATGAAACATCCTCCTTACTAAGTGTTAGTGACATCTTCCAATGAAAAGGAAGCTTCTCACTGTTTAGGATCAAATGATCTACAAATTAAAAAAAAAAACCTAAATTATAAAACTATTTTATTGAAAACTGTTCAATCTATATTACCACAAAACATTATAATTAATATTATTTTAAATTTCGTTACATAGGATGATAAAGACGTTTTTAATTCACAATGTTACAATTATTATTATTTGTTGATGCTATAATAATTATAGACGATTAAAATAATAAATAATATTATTAAATACCGTATATTAAAATTAATATTTTTAGAAAAATAATGAGAACATTGGGAACTGATGGATTCGCATTAGGAGGCAATGGCTGCTTTCCAGGATGTTTTTTTTATGAGACGAATCCACGTAGATTCAAGAGAGCCTTGAAACCACTTGGTCTTGTATTTTTGACAGCCTGCTTCGGTAAGATTCATATTTAATTTAAGTTGAAATCAAACTATATATTTTGTATAATTCCATTAGGTGTACAACATTTGTAGAAGGAAACTAATCCACATTACACGTTTTTGGGTAAACTCAAGTCAAGTTATATGATCTTAGAAATCTGGATCTTTCAAATAAGTATATTTTATTTGTTATCTCTAACAAATAATTTTATTCTACTTTTTACTCTAACCAAAATAAAGTACAATTATTTTACAAATAATCCAAGAGGGTTGATCTTTTCTGTTGAAAACAGTAAGGACTTATCCTATTTAATATGGTTTCCAACTCATTGTTGCATATTTTACGTATTAGCTTTCTACCATATAAACAAACGTGACCCACTTGTCGGACTAGTTCTCTTGTTGAAATTATGTGTTTTAAAATTTGTTTTTGTCCGTCTATAGAAGAAGTACCATCACAATCGAACTTTTTTAAGCATGATTTGGTCTGTCCGTGTTCAGACTAAGTATTAGTTTATAATTTGTAGAAATGTACAAATTATGTTATAGGTTTTGTTATTTTTGGACTAAATTTGTGTAAACTGAGTGAGTTTTTCAAATACAGTCAAATGGACTAAATATGTTTTTAAAAAATCTCAGCCATTAACTGGTAGGTTGAATCGAACTCGAAATTTGATGCGTTTGAACATGCCCAAGTTGAAAACTCACCGGATTATATTCCCGCAAAGTTAAAGCCATAAGGCTAATAACTTTACTGCGTGTAATATAACTTTTGTTAAATTTGCAGGTGTTCATCTTTTCGGTGAATGGAACCTAAAAATTTGCTTATTTAAACGTAAATTCATTAAAAATAAACCCGTTCTGGATAGCAATACTTGACTATCTTAGTTCTATTCCATAATTACTATCATTTAAGACTATCGGTAACTTTGCGTTCGTACGTTAAATAAATGTGTCATTGGCTCCCAGTACCGGCTTTAGACATTAAGAGCCTCCAGGCAATGACATCATCTACCCCTCCCTAAAAAAATTAAATTTATTTGTTAAGCTGTTTTGTATTATCTAATATTTGAATTTTATTGTATGAAACATTTCGCTAATACAGTTGACAGACCAATTGTGATGTCAGGAAATCACTTCAGGAAACAAATGAAGCTATGTTGAAAACTTTATATCACAAATACACATAACACTTTCATTCCTCTACACGAACATCACACTATAAGGAATAAAAGCCTACTACTCTCTAGATAACCTCACCCAAGCCAACCTGCCTTTGTTTACACTACCTACAGTGCTGCCAGATAGCATGCATTAACTCTACACACTCCCACCTTTACAATTTATGCTTTAAATTGTAAACTAATTTAAATAACAAAACAAAATTTTAATAATCAATACAAAAATTTGCAGGTTAAATCATTAATTTAACAACACTTAATAAACTACTTTAACAAATGTTTTCTGCTTCCTTTTATAGTCTTGATAATATCACTGGCTAATAACATTCCGAGGTACACTGAACTTCTTGGGTGGTCTTTTTTCTTCTCTTCCAGTTATGGAAAACTTCTTTAGAGGACAATGAAGAATTACTCGTAAGACAATTGTTACTTGTACTCCTCTCCTTGTACTTTTCTAAGATCTGATTCTGAAGGGGATCTTTGGCTGACGACAGATCTGATACTATCTCTTGTGATGCTTCTGGAAAGACTGTTTCGAGCTGGAGGTGCTACAGATATTTTTACTCCAGGGGGTAATACAATGCGTGGAATTATTGTTTTAACTGACCCGGTCTTCTTGGTAGTGCCATCATCTAGACGACTCCTTAGTAAACTATTATGATGGGTTATTCCATATGATATTCCATCTTGCCCTGAATGGTGAGACTCACTTGCACTAGAGTCAAAGCGCTGTAAAGGACTCCCTCTCTTTGGTGTTCTTAGCATGGAACAGGCCTTTGTTTTAGTTAGATCAATAACTGTCCAACCTTGCCTAGTTTCTGTGGCTATCAAATTTTCAGTTATTGGTTCTAACCTTCCTGTCACGTTTAGTCCCATGACATCTGCTGTAAGACTTGACTGTACTTCTTGATTGTCTCTCCCACCATCGCCTCTTCAGCACTCATTATCCTTAATTTCCCACACACAAGAGATTACACTATTTAATGTTACTTCAGGAACCAAATGAGGCTTTTTCAACTATTTGGCAGTTTTCAACTCTTCAGCACTCATTATCATTAATTTCCCACACAAGGGATGGCACTATGTGATGTCATGAAAACACTTCAGGAAACAAATGAGGCTGTGTTGATAAACTTTTACACCACTACACAAAACACTTTTATTCTACATATACATCACATTATCAGGAACAAAGGACTACTATTGTCTGTGTGTAACCACTCCCAAGCCAACCTGCTTTGCTTAAAAGCTACAGTGCTGCCAGATAGCAAGCTTTAACTCTGCGCTAATATTATTTATTTTAATAAGTTTTGTAATTTTTTAAAAAATTTCTTACAAGTGACGAGCGTCCATAAAGATCCGCCGGCACCCCCGACGAGTGTCCCTCCTGGTCGGTGCCCGGGGCATTAGCCCGGGTTGCCCCACCCTAAGGCCCCGCCATGCTGGCTCCTAGTCTAATATGACCAAAGTTTCACTTTGAGCATCCTCTTCACCGAATGCATCTGCAATCTTCGACATCAGAGTGACCTTTAACCCATTTTATTTTTATTGCAAAATTTAGAAAGTTTATGAAAGCTCCTTATATAGTTTCAGGGAGCTGGTCCCATATGCCTGATTTTAGAAACGATTCTATTAAGATTTCTGTTTGTCTGCTTTATATCAGTTGGAAAGTCAGGAAGGTTATTCTGTGGCATTTACAACTGCGTATTTTCAACCTGGTAGTTGGAATATGTTGGAATCTAGTAGTTGGCACTAACCGTTGTCCCATTCATGTCCCAAAGCACCCATGTGCTGCCTAATTTATAACCATCTTTAATTACAGGGAGGAGGTTCTTGAGCCATCGACCTTGGGGAGGGCAGGAGGGGAGGATAGGCACCCCTGGTTTGATAGGCGATAATTCATTAATTATATTATAGATGGGAAATTCACCAGCCTAGATTTATTTTAGTCCTCCCTTCGCCTTTTTCGCTCCCATTAATTTCAGTCCCACATTTTCACTGAGATAATGATGGACGTGTACAGAGACAATTCAGCTGTGCTCACTTGACTATGGGTTAAACACATAAATTAAAATTTAGAAATTTTGCCAGATTCCTCTGAGGTGGATCTCCCTTCTTCCTCCCAAGTTATATAAATAAATATACAATCATAAATTAAATTGATTATAGTAAATATGATATTGTAAACATACTGATGTATTTTCAGCTGCTTACTTGTCTCATACTTTCCAGTCTGACATGGTTTCACATATTACTCCGCCAGTAGCTTTTCGAACACTTTCTCAAAATGAAGAAGGCGATGAAGATGAATTACAAGTTGGTGAAATAAATGATAAATTTGTAAGCTGTAATTCAAATTGATATATTATATATAAATATATATATATATATATATATATATATATACATATTTTTTTAAAATCTAAATTTCATTAAGTTATATCTGAATAACTTTTGCACAGAGTAACATCGAAAGAAGTGCATCAGATCTGATTTCTTCAATAAAGGACATCCAAGATGATCTGCATGGGATAAAATCAGTTGTAAAAGGTATTCAACCAATTTTTGTCTTATTGAATTGGATATTGGCGTTAATAAATTATAACATTCCCTAAGGTACTCGAAAGTTGTAACTCGAATAACACAAACAATATTTGCCTAATTGCCTTTCTACAAGTTGTGCATAAAAACTCAATCTTCAAAGTTGCACTATACACAATGCTCCGACATGATTTTCGCTGGTCCATGGAATGATTCATTCTTTGTTTGCCTTACCTCGGTGCTTAGCATTCAATCTTGTTTTATCTCAGGAAGTAAGTTTTCCTTCCATTATGAATAACGCAGAGAAGATTCCAGATCAGAGGTTTAACATCAGAGATTTACTTGAAGAAGTTGGAGAACTAGAATTTCAGTTTTCAGGTGTTTTTGAGGGCGAGGTGGGCATAATTAAAGATACCAGGCTGTAATTCATCTGAAACCAGGGTCCAAGCCAGTAGATTTCTACGCTCGGAGGGTTTCTTTCTCGATGAGAGTTATGGTAGAGCAAGAGTTGAGAAGATTAGAGAAGAAAGTATAATTGAGAGCGTGGATCCAGCCGAAGCACCCGTTGAGTGGTGCACTCCAATTGTGAATACTCTAAAAAGTGGCATTGTCAGAATTTGTAGGAACTTTAGTGTAATCGTTAACGAGAATATCGTTAGAATAACATTTTTCGCCAACATTTGAAGACCTCACCGCAAAGCTGATGTGAAAAGAGCATTTCACTGTCATTGATCTACCTGACAACTTTCTCCAAACGGAAAGTGGACACAGGGAACAGGAATATTTGGCTGTAGCCACTCATTGGAGATTTTATCGCTACGAGAGGACGCCATTTGGTTCGTCGAGTTCTTATCTGTCTAAACGATTTGTGGAGAAATTAATCAGTGGATTGAATGTTAGTATCCTATTAGATGATCCCATTATAACTGGACGGGGTAAAAATTTAGAAATTTTAAGGTGAATGTTGTCTGTTGGCTTTTGTTTGCTTGATGGCGTGAACTACTTGAGACATGGTTTTGATTAACTGTTGAAGGACACCCTGCAGAAGAAAAATATGCTGCCATCAAACAGGTACCAGGTCCAAAAATATGAAAGAACCAAGATGTTTTTTAGGTTCAATTAACTTATGTGATCTCTTTATTCCTTTTTTTCTTGATAGGGACAAAGACACTCTGGAATGGAAAACATAGGTAGAAGAATGTTTTGAAATGGTTAAGACCTTACTGTTCGGCACATACACCTTTAACTCATATGATCTGTTGGGGGCGGGGTGGCCGAATAGGCTAAAGCGTGTGTAACAGCACCGCTAGTTGCCTGGCAACCGGATAACAGAGATTTGAGATGATATAAAAAGTACGAGTTCGCGTCCCGGTGCCGGAGGGGATTTTAAATTCCCCGCCCTCACCCCCTGGCCCGGGAAAATCCCGTATAGCCTAAAAGACGAGGTAGGGAAGAACAAAAAAAACAAAACAAAAAAAAACCAAAAAAAAAAAAAAACCATATGATCTGAAAATACAATCATACTATCATGAGGTGCATCAGAAACTGGATTAGGAGCGGTCTTACTGCATTAAATGGAGACACATTTTTTATGTCAAAAGCCTACAGTTCGAGGACACACTCCGTTGCAAAAAAATTTAATATATTAATCTGTAGTAATTGAAAAATTATGAATGACTCCGCAAATCACATTTAGATATCTTCGAAATCGAAAGATTTGTGGTGTTTTCGAAAATATTATTCTCAGGCTACTTAATTTTCAAAATCGTAAGGAGGAATCTTATAGACACGTTTCATCGACTTTTTATTTAAAATATTGGCAAGACTATGTCTAATATTTATTTTAAATAACTATAAGAATACAAAAGAGTCTATCTGAATTAGTTTATGCGAAATTAAAAGTAAATCGATCGTATTGTATAAGCTCAAAATGCTTATTAGTTTAATAGTAGAAATGTTTTCTTACATTTCAGTTATTAGTTTCACAGTTTTTTTAAGTGAAAACTTCTTTAGTCGCGCTTTGCCCATTTTTTTTTGTTAGTGAATGAGACAGCTGTCACACTTGGATAATTAACGCTCATTGGAGTGAAGTCGGTTCGGGTTAAAATATCTAAAAAAATAAAATTTGGACCTGCATAATGTAGGAAAAGAAACTTTTAAGCTTTTCATCTTCTTTGTAATGAGCTGTAAATAAAAATTGTATTTTGACGTGACGTCGAGTCGAAGAGGGAAGAGAGTCGGAAAGGGAAAAAGACGGTGACGAAAACCAAGCGATAACGATTTTTGTCGAACATATGTATTAATATATCTCATAAGTTAATAATCGGACCTGCATAGTGTAAGCAAGGGGAATTTTAAACAGTTTTAATTAGCTAACTCTTTGTAATTAGCTATGATTCAAACTTTTATCTTAACGCGACGGCGTACAGTGGTCGGTAAAGACATAAAAACCCTGGGAAATATAGAATTTAAGCAAGCTATTTGAAAAACGGAATTTATTATAGCAATTAATATACAATAAAACCACTTGCGTAAGAACAACCGTTATTATTATTGTTATTTTTTTCAAAAATAAATAAAATATATTTTGCATGTAATATGTTGTAAAAATGAAAATTTATTGTATAAGGTTACTGACCGAATCAATTATAAATATCTACTATCTATATTACTGTCAAGAGAACATGGTCATAAGAAAAGAAGATTAAATGAACCTATAACTAAATGAAGATAGAACCAAATACATGGTAGTGAGCTAAAAACAATACTCCAGTATCAATTATGGGTTTCTATACTTTTCCTCCAGTTTTCTATGAAGAAAAGGAATAAATTATAATAGGTATACATTTATTTAGATAATGGTAGGAATTTTTTCTTGCTCGTCTTTGCTATGTTTCTTGAGTGAATTTGTCATATAATTACCAAAATCTCAAATCATCGCAGCTGATTTATGTATTCAGCATTAGCATAGGGTTCAAAAAACATTTTAATTACAGTAAGACCTTGGCGGTAATTATCTTGTGGTAATTATCGAGGGATAGCACAACTGAATATAGCCTACTAGGCATTCTCTGTATTATTGAACCGACGACTGATAAAGTTTTCCGAACAGATAGTGGACGACAATTAGTGTGGTTTTAGGCATGGAAATCAACCATCGATCAAATATTCTCATTAAGACAAATTCTTGAAAGGGGATATGAATTTCACTTTGACCTCCATAATTTATTTATCGATTTTAAACAGGCATACGACAGTATTGATAGAGATGAATTACTGAAGATAATGCTTGAATTGGGAATTCCCAGGAAGCTCACTAGGCTAGTATAAATGACAATGCATGATAGCAGGATGACGATAAAAATACTGGGAGTGCTATCAGCAGACTTTTGCAGTAAATAGTGGCTTGAGGAAGGGAGACCCTCTTTCACCTGCCCTTTTCAATTTAGCCTTGAATGAAGCTAATAGGACAACACGAGCCAACCCTAATGGAACAAATTATGATCGGCTCACACAGCACTTGGCATATGCGGATGATGTGCCCATAATGGCAAAAAACACTGCAACTTTAGTCAGGAGAAGCTTTTGAGGAGTTTGAAAGGGAAACAGCAGAAGTGCGCCTTCATGTAAATGAAGGAAAAACAAAATATTTAAAAACAGGCAGCAACAACTGGAATACTATAGCAATGGAATACTATGATCTGCAGATTGATGGTCACAGTTTTACAAGTACAAGCAGGTTTAAGTACCTGGGCGCAGTCATTACACATGACAACAACACGAAAGAAGAAGTAAATGCAAGGCTGGCTGCAGGTAACAAGTGCCTTTATGCCATACAATGGACATTAAAGTTTAAAGATCTTTCTGGAAAAAGCAAAACTCATGATTTATGAAACCATACTGAGACCCATAGTTCCTTATGGCAGTGAATCCTGGGCATCGACCAGTAAAAGTAAAAGGAAACTCAATGTCTAGGAAATAAAAAGAGGATACATGGGAAAATAAGAGAAAATGGCACGTAGGCGGTTAAGAAACAACTACGAGCTCCGTGCAATGTTTGGCAGGCCAGACCTGGATCATTTGTGGAAAAAGCCCGCCAGAGTTGGCTTGAACACGTGGAAAGGATGCCAGAGAATAGAATTCCAAGACGCCTGCTATACGAATAAATGGAGGGAAGCGATATAGAGGAAGGCCAAGAATTCGGTGGTTAGATGAATTTAGAACGGGGCCTCAAAAGCTGCTCGGAGTAAGAAGATGGAGTACGCGAGCGAGACAGAAATTACTGGGTTGGGGTCTTTGAGGAGGCCCAGGCCCGTGCAGTACCGCAGCGCCCAGCAGTAAAGAGAAGTGAAGACCTTGGCGGTCGTTGGCGAGATGGAAAAGTGAAATTCCAGGATCCGTTGAGTGATAACCTATCCAATGAAAATACACAATGTTTGAATGTATTATAAAATAACTTTTTCAAGAACTTATTTGACTCATTTCAACAAAAGCACAACAAAAAATATGTTGACAATTCTGCGAAAACGCCTAAAATATATTTAATTATTTATAAAGTTGCATTATTTAATATGGTAGAAACTGGTATTTGTATTCGTTTTTAAACTTTAGGAATGTATGAGTTAACTATGTCAGACATTAAAAACATAGAAATCTGAATTATCAATTCAAATTGAAAATAAGGATTTTTGCCGCTCTCAGACCACTGTGCGGCGTGTTAGAGAGACAGACGGGAATCGAACTATTTTGATGAATCGGACTAAAATATCTCAACGTTTATACATTATGGAGAATTCAGAAACCAATTTGTGGAAGTAAATATCAATTTTTTTTTGTCTAGCTATAAAAATAAGAAATTATGTGTTTCTATTCAATTTTCAGTCGAACTGGATACAATTTCGACATACCCGTTACACAAGTTGAAAAAATGACAGAGTTTTTGTAAGATAATTAGCGAATAGATTTCAATCAAAAGTATTCATCACATATTTTAGTTAGTATTCAGTTAGTTTAATATAGTTAGCATTCATCATAAACCTGTTATATAATTTTTTGAGTATGATACAAATAACTATCTGTCAGAGCAAAGTTGACTTGAGCAATTTAAACACAATTATAATTGTATAAATGTTATTGCTTTGCGAATATAGAACAAAAAATAGTCTATACACAAATATAATTATATGTATTGAGAATGTTATTACTTATGAATAGAGAACAAAAATAAATTACATTTCATATTATTATCCATCCTTATTGATGTTTTCTCTTCCATCGTGTGGTCTAAAGCATAGACCGTAGTTGTTTTTTTCATTATGTACTTTTCTTTATACTAATTTATAAGGTTCTTCTTCTCTTTGTCCAAATTTTTTTTAATACATATCTATTAGGTGGACTTAATCAAGAAATGGTGAAGCAGACTGAAGATATTATAAAAAGACATCTACAGATATACGATGCTGATAAAACGGGCATTACTGATTATGCTTTGGAAAACTTAGGTATGTAAATTCTGTAAATATAGGGAATCCTAGATTTAGCTAAATTTTGAATTACTTATATTGCAGTGCACGATTCATTTGGAATTATATATTTTATGTTTCTCTTTAACGGTACTATTTCGCTGGTGCTGCCAACAGCAGCGTCCGTTCATGGCTGCCAGCCGTTTATGCATGTGTGTTTCGCTGAAACTGCTCACCGTCGCAATTGAATTATGACGTGAGGTCATAATAGTAATTTCATTACTATAAAATATTAACTAGCTTGCCCCATCTACTAAATCATGGCTTCTTGTTATATTTTGAATTGGGAATATCAGCTTCATGTTAATACGAATCTTTAGTAGTTTGCTGCTTCTGGAGGAAAACCTCTTCTTCTTCCTCAATATTTTTATGGTTCCATTGGTCCTGCACATCATACCAGTTGGTCAGACACATGGATGGTTCTGCATATCAACGATTTAGAGAATAAACTGCTGTTCTGTTCTCAATCACCCGTTCCTTTCCTATTCCAATGATCTCACCCAATTAACATGCAATATCCAAACTCGCACGTTTCTTCCTAAAACCGTAACTTTCCGCAGCATTGACACCCACACTAATATCCCACTTGACCTTGAAACCCTAAATTGGAATGTAATCTACTTCTGCATCTCTATTGATGATATTTACTCCTAATCTTATTCATACCCTTGACATTCATGTCCTCTTAAAACCTATACCTTCCATCACCAATCTGCTTCATGGATGATTCAAGAAATTCATAACATGCAAAAGAGAGGTGAGGTAGCCCGTAGACGCTTCTGACGAACTCGACAAGCAGATGACTATCAACCTTATAGGGTACTCGGTAACTTGGCACAGACAACGATCAGGAAAGCGAAATCAAAGTACTTTAACGAAACTCTCTCTTCTGCTCCTGATTCTAAATCAATATGGCTAATCCTTCGCAAACTCTTTCTTGGTAAATACTCTTCCTCATCAGTCTACCTGGTTTCACCTGATGAATTAAATTCTTGCTTTATATCTTGTTCTACCAACAATAGCTCACCCTCCTCTTACCAGTTTTCCTTATCACCCCCCTTTAACATTCAAACTTTCTATTCCTCCACATTTCACCAACTTACTTCTCCTTTTTAATTCCTATATAAATAATCTTCCCGGTTCCATCTACCACTGTTCACACCATCTATACGCTGACGACTTGCAGATCTATTTATCCTTTTATCCCTCTGAGCTATTAGTTGCGTTCGTCAATATTCAGGCAGACCTCGAAAGGGTCACTGCCTGGGAAAGTTTGAATAATTTAAAGCTAAACGCGATGAAAACTCAGGCCATTGTTATAGGTTCCACTTTTCTCCTTTAATCCAACTCCTTCCTTCCTCCTTTAGTCATAAACGATCATCCCATTACATTCAGCTCCTCTGGTATAAACGTAGGAATCACCATTGACGAAAACCTCTTCTGGTAACCCCTCATCTCCTGTAAGTCAATAGGTACCCTTAAATTTTTTTCATTGATCCCGTCACTAATCCCACAATCTATTCGCAAGCTCCTTGTATTCTCTCTTATTTTCCGCCACTTTGACTATGGCTATGTTGTGTATAGTGGCAGCCCGAGGATACTCGAAGAAAGATTGAAGCGACTTATGAGCTTCTTAAGATTTGTCTTCGGTACTTCGAGGCCGTCTCATGTGTTCTACCTTAAGATGGGTTTTCTTCTCTTCTTTACGTAGACAATATTCACTTCTATCAAACCTATTCCAAACGAACAACTCCGGGCACCCTTCCTACATCTACATTTTCCTACAGTTCAAACCCATAGTCCACTCTCCGAAAACAAGATCGCGTGAATTTTATTTCCTCTACCTATAGGTTTTTCAGGATCCATTGTTCAAAAATATCCACTTTAAATGAACTCTGAAGTAAAAATTATTTAACAGATATAAAGTTCATATTTTTAAGGTAGGATTAGAATTATAAATTATATTAAATAATATAAAATTCTCAAATGATTAATTATAACAGGAGGCTGTATAGTTTCAACAAGGGATACAGTCACTTACAAGGAAGGAACCCCTCTCCTGAGTTTTTTTGGCTATCCGTTAATGACAGTCGTAACAGAACCAAGGAATATTATTCAAGTAGGTATAAAATATTAATAAAATAAAATATAATTTTTTTCTTAAATTTTATTCATTAATTATATGTTTCTGTTTTTTTACTTCAAAGCCTAAAGTAAATCCTGGAGACTGTTGGGCTATCAAAGGTAGTAAAGGTACAGCTGTGATAAAACTCATTACGGAAGTTGTCGTTACTGCTATAACAATAGAGCACATTCCTCGAAGTATATCTCCAACTGGAGAAATATCTTCGGCTCCAAAAGATATAATTTTATTAGTAAGTGAATTGTCTTATAATACAACTAGTTTTACTTAATTTTATAAATTATATCTTGACATAAGGCTCGTTACTCGTCATTGTCTATGTAGAAGCTGTAAGAACGTGAAAATCGCTTTTTGTTTAATGGCATGTCATCCTAGGCTAGGAGTTTAAATCTGAGTGTCACTCGGCGATTGCCTAGTTACCATTGACAGGATATATACCCGTTGTTTTTTTTTCCATCTAGGTTTGAAACTTCTGTTTTTTTAAGTGCTTGGGTTAGTAAGCACTCTTATTTATATCGCGACGATGATAAATTCAGAGGAATCCACCGCATGTAAACGGGTCTAAAAATGGATTGTATACAAAGGCTTGAATACTGTCAATAGTAACGTGTAGCATTGTTGGCTGTCTGTGACCCTGAAAGTTTCATTGTTATTTTGACTTGAGAAAATTTGTGAAATGAATTAATTAAAGAGTAATTAGAATTTAAAAAGGTTTAATAAAAAAAAAAATCAAAATACAAAATAAAATGTATCCTTTCATCGAGAGAATATTAAATCAGCCTCAAAACGTGTATTTCCGATGAAAACTTAGATTTCGATAATTTTCACGATCGCAATACTGTCCCTTACAACATATTGCATATATAGATTAGTGAAATTAAAAAAGAAAAGAAGAAGGACAAAGTTTAGTTTTTTATTTTATACTTTATTACGAGCTATAAGTCTATATCCCTCTGTCTACCATGCAGAACTCGAAATTGAAGGATGTTGCTTAGACTTCTAGAAATAAGAGTTTTTGGACATTCAAAATCTAAAGTAAAATTCTTATTTAGAGAAAAAAATGTGCATAAAAAGAACTAAACGCGTGGCAGTGTTAATCATTTCATCATTTAAGTTATGTATGGCCCCTTCATATTTATACTACAACATTGCTCTACATCAGAGAAGTGTTCCAAAATAAATATTATAAAAGTTATAAATTTTAGTATATGGAACGATTTTTAGAAGGTTTATAATAAATTTCTCTACATGTGTTGAATATTTGAATTAAGATTATTATTATTATTATTATTATTATTACCTGTGGTTAGACTGATGTTATATTTTAGGGATTAGAAGATCTGAATGATGACGAACCTCACGATTTCGGACAGTTCCAATATAATGAGACTGGCCCAGCTATTCAGACATACCCTGTTAAGGTAATAAGCAATTTTATTTTCTGTAAAAATATTTAGTTCCAGTCCATTATTTAAGACATATTTCATTACAAAAAAAGGGTGACTTAACCCTCAAAATTCCATAACATTTAAAGGATATCTAGCAATATAATTTTATAAATTTTCCTGGAAGGTTTAGTATTTTTTTCTAAAAGCGTTTAGTAATTTTAATAATAGTTCAGGTATATTTGAGATCTATTTATAGCCTCAAAATATAAATGACCAAAGGCAACTATTAAACATCAATAAATTATTGGTAAAGACACGACAAAGGCATTCTTAACTTTTCATTTCAGCATTCTGAATTGAAGTTTTCACTTCAATAAAATAATGCTGTCACATCCGTATCGATTTAGTTTTATTAAGCCCAGGAGTTAGCTTCCAAAACTCGGACAGAATAATAAAACATTTTTTAATGCTTCCTAAGAAAATGTCTTAAAGGATATGATTTCAGCTAATTTAAATCGTGGGGATCCATTTTTTTATTTTTCTATCTCTACTAAGTTAGGAAAGTATTGCGATCGGATCAAATTTCCGATATACGGTTTTCAACGGATCAACTGAACGTTTCATATTCGTTTGTTGCGGCATAACCTGACTGAATATGTTCGCCTAACCTTCCTTAAAGCTGTTAGCGGGAGTACTAATTATAATTATTCTATGATCGATCTAGTAATTGAATAATCGATCTGGTATCGCTATAAAAAATCAGTAGGATTACTTGGACGAATATTTACGTGTGTGTTAAAATTGTTTGGTGTGATTATTATTTAATACTAGTATCTGTTTTTTTTTGTCTTTGTAATTCTATTAATCATTTTGTGTGTGACATACTAGAAGACTAATTATTTTAATTTTATTTATTTAAAAAGCTTTGCAACTGTTATTTGTAGTAATTTTTTATGAAAACAGGGGTACTTTTAGATGGCTAGATTGAAAATCACTTCATTTCTTTACAGAACTTGAGGTGAATCCTTAATTTTTGTCTGATAAATCTCAACTTAATTAATATGGACTTAAATCTTATTTAACGAGGAAGTTTTCCTGAAAGTGGGGTGTCTGTAGTATAGTCGGATAATGGTAAAAAAAAAATCGCAAATAATTTATGATTTTTTGCAAAACATAAATTAGCTTCGTTTAATCGCCCAAAAGTCCTCTTGGAATGGTTTTAATTATGACAAGCTCTATTTTAATTAGAAGTAAATTTTGTCTAGTTTACTGCAAAGCAATTGCTAATTACTTAAATTAAATATTTCTTTAGTTATCGCTTCCTATTTAACAAAAAACATGACTTATTTAAAAAAATACAAAACTTTAATTTCTTACTTTTCTGCTGAAAATTGGATTATTGTTTATAAGAACTTTTTTTGTACGTCTTGAGGTTTGATGTCACCTATAACAATTTTCCTTCACTTATGGGACGTCCTTTATATGAGAAGCTTAATATCTGATAATCTGATAATAATAATCTGTATAATAATATATAATAATAATAATAATAATATCTTATAATCTGATAATATCTGTTATAAAACTGAAATATGTTATTTTTAAAAAGTTGAGAAAAAGCCAATTTTGTATAGCATAGCTTAAATATTAAACAATCCTAATGATTTTTTTTCATGATTGAACGTGAAATTTCTTAAATAAAATCATCAGAAACAGTTTGAGTTGAACCTTTAAAACAAAAATTGACTTTTCTTGCACTTTCTGAAAATGACAGATGTCCGTCTTTGATTTGAAGTCATTCATATATATTCACTAAATAATTCTACAACATATACAACTTATCTATACGAACATTGACAAAGCATAGGTGCCTGAATTTAGGAAATATTGGAGGGGGGGGGGCGAAGTTTAGTGTGACGTAATAGTGTAATATAACAGATCGTTTTGCGAAACATAGTTATTTGTTCTCACACGATCTTAAAACGTACATTTCCATTTAACATCAGATTCGGAATTTCCAGAATTGAAATACTTTTTCTTATCATATGTTTCATAGGTAGGTAAGTTGGAGTAATAAAATTGTCTTTTGATTTCTACCAATGGATAGTTTCTCTTCATGTTGTACATGTCATGTTCCCAATGTCACATTTACTTGTTGTATTTTCTATGTAATACAGTTGTAAATTTCATTAACATAAAAAATAAAAAAATTGTCTGAATGTTGCAGGAACCAATAGGCCTATCGTTCGGATTGGTGGAAGTAAAGATAGAATCAAATCATGGGCACCCTCAGTTCACCTGCATCTACAGAATAAGAATCCATGGAAGGCCTCCAGATTTAGGATCAAACAAAAATACTTGATTTTATATAATCGTTTTCTTCATTGCGCATATGATACCTACTAAAATAATGGGTTTAAATGAGAAGATATAGAATTCATGTAAACTGATTATGATCGTGGAAATTTCAAAAATAGCTTATCTAGCCCATTGGAGAAGAGGCTCAGTTGTATCTCTTTTTTCATAATTCCCACTTTAATTCGAGGATGATGGCATCTTCGCACAATTAGGTGAAAAATTCCCTCTCACAAGGCTCACAGATGATTTGTATTTGTCTAAAAAATATAGCGATAGACCCGCAAAAAGAAAAGACTCTCGTATCTCTTAGAGTTATATTACGAAATATCTAAAAATGTTTTTAATGTTTGTGTATAAAAATTGTACGAACTTGAAATTAAACAAGTTAATTGCAAGGCAGTTTAGAAACACGATTCTAACTTCATTCTGTTTTGTTGACACTAATGCAAGATTCTTACAATATGAGAGAAAGTTGCAGTAATCGTGGGGTCATCTTAAATCCGGAAAATTTTTAGTAGAAGACCCATTTTTCCTTTAAAATTGAACAGATACTTTATAAGAAAGCACTGTGTGCGTATATGTATAAGCGAATAGCAAGTAAAAGTATATATAGTCATTTATTTAATAAAATAATAAGTCCAATTAATTATGTCACTTCCTTACATTTGATTTATAACTAATTTGGTAGTCACCTGTCGGACGCATTGGAATACTGTACCAGGTTGTTATCGGAGCACTACATCGCGGCAGAAACGTAGCGTAGGTTTTCGGCGCTCGCGAGCGTTCGGATCGAGATTTTACCCAGCGCCTCCCTCTCTTCTATTCCATCCCAAACCCACTAATAGACTATTACTTCATGTTTTATAATAAAACGAGAGAGGAATTGAGATCTTAATAATAAAAATGGCTTAGCGAAACCGAAAGTTCGATGCTAATACCACCTATCGCTGCATACATAATCCCGTACATCGCTCATCGGTATACCTTTCGAACGCTTACGATACGGTCCAGTGAATATTATGCTTTTAGGTATCAGTATTGGCCGCAAATCTGTCAGCTCTATTATATTTATGGGGTACAAATCACGCAATCTGGCGTTGTGTAGTGGTCTTTATTCCGCGTGTTAATTCGTCCTTTTTCAATCCAAATATTGTACATTATTTACACCATACATTATTTTCAAAATCCTTAAGGCGTTATTCGTTAATTCGTTTTCCGCTCTGATTTTCACTGTTCTAACCATTTCCCAACTGTTTAGAAGTAGGCCAATGAAAACAGTAGTGGTATAAATATTCCTAATTTTCTTTCGCTTTTCCTCTTTTTTTACTAGAATGGACACTCGGTTATTCATCGTCCCAATAATGTCCCAACTGTTTAGAGTAGGTGAAAATGGGGAACGAGTGCAAAAATTTTCCAAATTTTCATTCACTTTTCCTCTTTTATCTCGAGAATGAAGGATCGGTAATCTAACGTTCCAATCATTTTTCGGCAATGTAAAAGTAGGCTAAAATAATGAAATAATGTAGAGAATTTTCTGAATTTTCATTCGTTATTTCTCTTTTATTTCGGGATAGGATGCTCGGATTTTCACGTTTTAACCATTTCCCAACTGTTTAGAGGTAGGCCAATGAAAACGGTAGTGGTACAAATTTTCTGAATTTTCTTTTGCTTTTCCTCTTTTATTACGTGAATGGATGCCAGTAAGTATTTCACTGTTCTAACCATTTCCAACTGTTTAGATGCAGACCAACGGAAATTGTAGTGGTCAAATTTTTTGAATTTAGATTCGCTATTCCTGTTTTCTTCGGTAAATAGATGGTCGATATTTCATCGTCTCAAATATTTTTCAGCTTTTTAGAGTTAGGCGACTTTCGGTTTTTGCACTTTTCCAACAATTTTTCGGCAGGTTAGAGGTGGGTGAAAATGGGGAAATGATGTATAATTGTTTCCGAATTTTCATTTGTTTTTCTTCTATTCTCTCATAAATGGATTTTCACTATTCCAACCATTTCCGAACTGCATAGAATGGAGACAGTAACGGTGCAAACTTTCCGAATTTTGTTTAGCTTTTCCTCTTTTATTACGTGAATGAAGACTCGGTTTTTCATCATTCCTACAATTTTCAAGCTGTTTTAGTGAAAATGTTTAAAACGTGGGAAATTTTTATGAATTTTTTTTGCTATTCCTTCTTAAACTCGGAAATGAAGGGTCGGTTTTCACATCTCCAACAATGTTTCGGCAATGTATAGGTAGGCGAAAATGGGAAGATGGTGTAGATAGTTTTTCGAATTTTCATTGCTTTTCCTCTTTTGAAGAAAATTTTTGAACGGTCAAGTGAAGGAAAAAATTTCGTGCAGAAATTCGCGAAATTTTTTGAGCTGTGAAAAACGAATATGAACTATGTTTCTCCCTAAAATATTATTTGCTCTGGAAACAAGACTGATTTTTAATAAATATTATATTTGGTATATAGCTACAGTATTGGTATAATTTGGACCGACCGACGTAGCTATGTGGGGGTACATATTTTTTTATGGAGAAACAAAATTGATATTCGTTTTATATATATTTCGTTTGCCAATAGTTTCAAATTGGTTCAGCCATTTTCCAATAAAAAAATAAAATAAAATATCTAGATTTTTGATCCAATACTATTTCAGTTTAAGATGATGGAAGGATGATTGATATATATATATATATATATATATATATATATATATATAAAGATATTGGACCACATTGATGTAGTCTCCCTCTTTTTTTTTAGTATTTAAATTCCTTTAATATTATTATTCTACGGCACTATGGCCCACACGTTGACTCTTGGTCTGCGCCAGCATTGACTGCCAGTCATCTCTGTTTTGTGCTGCTGCTTCGCCATTACGAATACTAAGTATCGATAATGCATCGGTAGTAATAGTCTTCCTATTAAATTTCTTTATTGACATTCGATAAATTTTATCACAATTAAGGACACTAGTAATTATGGTTTCTGTATAACCACAAAAAAACATGTAATCTATCTAGATTTTTAATTTAAAAAGAATCCTAAATGCGTAACACACGTTAAATAATTGAGAATTATTAAATAATCGTTCAAATGATAAATAATGAATACAAAATTCTAGTAGTGCAAATGATAGTTTCTTTCATAAATCTATCTTCATAAGAAATATAAACCATCTTACAGTACCTAGTTTAATAATATCATTATTACAAGAAGCAGTTCGCTGAGGTCAAGATTTTAAGTGTTCCTCTGGATAACAAGGCCGAGGTATAATTAATGATAAAACTTCAGAAGGCTAAGCTAGAAGATTTTACAGGAAATGCAAGACATTATTAAAAACTCTTTATAAAGGAAAGAAAATAGATTGCTTTTCCAAGGAACGACAACTATTATTAATAAAACTTACTCCAAGTTAGGAAATTGCCCTTGGCCTAAAAATAAATTGAAATCGAATTTTGAAAAGTTAACATAGGAAACTGAATACATATACATACTTACTGAAGCCCATATGGACATACTCATCAGAAATATACGGCATCACTATAAAGATCCACCTACAAGAACTTCAAACGTTCCAATCAAAATTATTGCGACTCATAACAAAAGCAACTTAGTACGTGACTAACTAAACTCTACATACTGACCTCCACTTTCCAACAATTGAACAACATATAACGATCATTTATATAGGATTTTACACAAATGTAATTGGACATAATAACAGACTAATAAGAGACATGGCCAAAGCTGACATACCTCAGAACATGAGCAGGAGACTAAAAAGGCGTTGGATGAGGGATCGCCTTCCTTAAACAACCCAAGTAATTGGAACAAGTTAGGGAAGAGGTACTGCTGAGTACTTTCCTTCCCCATGCCTGTCATTTCATAATTTCATGTATCGTCATCACATTTGCTGATTGTCAACAATAAGTTGATAGGCGCAAAAACATTTTGTTTTATAGACAAAAAAACAAAAAAAAAAAAAACAGGAAAAAATAAGAAATCAGAATGCCATAATTAGCAGAATATTGTGTTATGATGTCAAGTCTGGTTAGTAACTATCTTTTTTTTTTTTTTTTTCATTTTCATTACATCTGCTTATAAAGAGATTGATCAGAAGTAAATTTATTAGATTTAGGCCTTAGATAAAAAGTGAATTGGCATTTTATACTCCTATATATACTTCTGTTTAGGCAACTTTCCAAAATTTAATTGAGTAAAGGCAAATAACTTTCGTGAATTCTTAATTCAAATTATGGGCAAAATACTGCTTATTTATTCAGTGGGCTGTATTTTAATGAATTGGTAAGTAATTCGAATTGTGCAAAAACAGCTTACCATTTTTATGTTGGTACAGATATCCTATGGTTACCTAGAGGGCCCTCAAGTCTGGTAGTGTCGCCTCAGTGGATAACAGTGCTGGAATGGGTCCGAGTGTACGATGAGGTTGTACGAATTAAATATTATCTTTTAGATCTTCTGATCTGCCCCCACCACTCGCCGTAACGAGAGAAATGGGTACTATCCTTGCACAAACAACTTCATTGGTAAAAATATGGAGCAATGTATCTGCAATCTATCGAAAAATTATCGGGCAACCTTGCTTTAAATTTTGGTGAAGTGCATTCTAGATTATTATTGGAAACTTAACTCTCTGACAATTCTTGATACGTGGGAAGTTCGATTTGTTATTGAATGTGAACAATTTTTGTGAAGTACGTCTTCTCTTGGTAATCTGAAAACAGGCGGTCTATTGGTTTGTAGGGCTGTACAACATAGCCCTTATATTTCAAATTTTCATTAGACTCGATAGATTATTAACTGTTATGGTTTATAAAGATTAGATACGGTATAATCAATGGTCAACATATCAAACAATAAGTGTTTTCGTCTTCATAGCCCGAGTTAAATACAATCCGAGCATAAATCAAATTATTGTTTTATTTACCATTGGCTTACTCCATAACTACAATCTTGCTAAGTCTGAACAAGCAAACAAATTATTAATTTATGTTATAATTTAACCATTTTGATTTATGATTTGATGATGATGACATGACCAAAAACTTATAATTTTTTTTTCCTATCGGCTTAATTCAACATCTCAAATGTAAAGATACTGTCAATCCACAGCAACCCAACATTCTAGTGATCGAATAACAATTATACACAGAAGAAATAACATATTTAATAAAAATCGCATTTGTAAACCGAAAATGAAATGCATATGCAAAAATTATATCGTAGCAATCATGCTCCTGCTGAAGCTGAAGATAAATATCGGAGAGAAAGCTTTTTCGAAGATCTAGAAAAACACTACTATAAAGATTCTAGGAACAACCTGAGTATTGTCTTGGGAGACTTTAATGCTCGTATTAAATACACTCTACAATTACGGTTATTTATTGTTTATTATTTTAATAGCTGGAGGTATACTTTCAGAGTTCAATAAAATTAGTATGGTATGCTTATTTCTGGTATATTGACGTTTATTGTTTTTAGTTCAGTGGAAGCAAACGATAATCTTTCGCCATTTTTCTTGCAGCGAATAATGTCCATTTTTTTTTTATTAAATTACGAATTATTTTCCTCTCTGTCTCAGATGAGCCTATGTTAATTGTAGAAGCCTTTTTT